GATAGAGGTGGCTGGATCTTCCTCGGGACAACCCCGATAATTAGGTGGCAGCAAATGATGTCTGTTAGTGGAATGGCAGCACATTCATCTGCCTTAGGTAAGTGCCCTAGCTCTAGGCTATTTGGGTAGATTTTTCACAAAGGAATAATAATTCTTAGAGTTGATATTTTCTCTAGTACCTCTCTGAATATGCCTTTGAACTACTGTTCATAGATAAGTTTGTTTGATTATAGATATCACTACTTTGATAATTTAGAGTTAAGAAAAGGTAACCATTTTTTCTTATTCTTCTGACTGGTTATGATTGGATGAGGTTATGATTAGAATCAGCAGGAATCGAGGAGTCCTGGGTGTAGTGCATGTTACCTCAGGGAGAGGTAAGTATTGCCTAGTCCTGCTCCAGAATATTCTTCGTATGAACAAGTTTATGTGTCTCTCTGTGTCTGAGTGGTACCATCAGACTCTATAGGGCATAGATGGAAAGAGCCATTCTCAGCCTTTTAGGATCCAACTCGGATATTTTCTCTGAAACTTTCCAAACTCCTCAATATCTACTTTTATACCCCAAGTATTTACCTCTGCTAAAAGGTTATTAGTATTATTTATTTACCAATGTGTCTTTCATGAACTTCTTTATGATATAAACTATTTATATACCCACATTTACTATGTGGATGGGACTCTTGTAATCACTGGGGGATATAATGTTGATGTAAATGGACAAGTTCTTACTCTCATATGGGGGTGGTAAGAAGGGGTGGTGGAGAAGGCACTGGCACCCCACTCCAGTACTCTTGCCTGGAAAATCCCATGGGTGGTGGAACCTGGTAGGCTGCAGTCCATGGGGTCGTGAAGAGTCGGACACGACTGAGCGACTTCACTTTCACTTTTCACTTTCATGCATTGGAGAAGGAAATGGCAACCCACTCAAGTGTTCTTGCCTGGAGAATCCCAGGGATGGCAGAACCTGGTGGGCTGCCATCTATGAGGTCGCACAGAGTTGGACACGACTGAAGTGACTTACCGGCAGCAGCAGCAGGAAGGGGAGGAGTGCTCAATAAGTATTTGGAGAAATAAGCTGATATTCCTGAGTGGTGAATTGAGTGTGTGCTTACCTGTTCCTTTGATAATTTTCTAGAGTGTTGGCATATGATTTTTTACATACATAGTAATATTGTTAAGTCACCAACACATATTTGTCTATTCAGTGCCTTTTAAGAAACAAGTCTTTAATGAAATCAAGTATCACACAAATGAAATGGCAGAAGCTCTTAACATTTTATTAAACCATGAGTAGGAGAAGCAGGTTTTGGTGTAGGTGAACTTGGGGAACAGTCACTTAGAGGTATTAAGTCCCTCTGACACATTTGATTGGCTGATATTATAGTTTTCTGAACTTGAAAGTTAAAAAGAGTAACAATAAAAATTATAAAATCTTCTCTCTCAGGTAGATATTTAAATGTGTTGCCAATGCCTACGGTGGTTTTGTGGAGCTCGCAAGGGAGTGGTCTGGAAGAAAATGAAAGCAAAGCAGCTGTTATCCCCAGCCCAGAAAGCTGAATGTGCGGGGACAGTTCTTGCCTCTGCTTCCCACAGGGGGATTTGTTCAGAGCACACACCAGCTGAGTCTGCACACGGTGTTGCTTATGGGGAAGTGGACGTTCCGACTAATGGGCACACAGAGTGTGTAGCAACTTAGAAATCTTCCTTGTTGGCAGATCTCTAACTTCCTTTCCTCATACATGCAAAGGTCTTGAGACATTGAGACGTTGTGGTTTCTGAGAGCCCCAGAGGCTTATCAGCCCCACCAAAGGATTCACTGAAGGCAGGCAAGAGAAATGGGTTATAAACTCCTTTTGGTTTCCCTCTCTGGTCCTGGGTTTGTACTTTTTTTCCACCTTGTCTGAAAAGTCAGAGCCTAATAGCCAGTGTGATTCCTCACCTTGTCTCACCTCTCTCCTCTGTTCCCCACCCTATGGCTTGGTCTGTGGATTTCTCAGACTTTCAGAGACATGGAGGGACAGAATAAACATGCATTTGTCTGAATCAAGAGTCCTGGCTTACCCTGGCCCACAGAGAGTACACATACAGGCTTTTTACCAGCCTTTTCTGCCTGGCCCTCAGTGGGAAACCTGAGTGGCTCCTGAAGTCAGGCCTTCCATGTCACACTGTCATGGTGCCAAAGAAGTGGATTACAACCTTGTCATACCTTTTTTACTCTCAGAGCTAGAGAAATTTGTCTGCATGATTAGCTGTTAGCTTCATTGCCCCTCTATAGCTTGGAATTTGCAAGTTCACTTTCCTTTTAGCAAATGGGCACCTCAGATGTGAACCGTGAACAAATTCAACTAGAGTGAAGAGACTAAGGTGCTATGCTAATGCCGTCATTATGCTTTGTTTTGAGATTTCCAAAGATGGATTGTCAAACAAGATGAAGCAGATCAACAGGTTTCCCTTTTGAGAAATTTGGCATATTTTTAGCCATTCTCTCTGCCTTGCCAAACCTGATCTACTTCATCCAAGGATCTGAAATGCTGCCTCATGCTGCCCCCAACTGGTTCTTTTTGGTACTCATGTTACCACATCAGAGAATCTAAGATTATATGAAACTTCTATTTTTTTCTTAGCACTTTCATGTATTTGTATTCAATTCTTATAATAACATCATGAGGTATATGGATCATGGATTATCATACCTACTGTATAGATGGAAAAACAGAAGGAAAGCCTCATTAGTCGATTTGTCCAAAGTAAAATGCTGTTAAGAGGCAGAATTGGACTAAAATTCAGTTTTCTTGTCTTCTCTCCCATTAGGTTCCCTAGTCTTTTGTAAATCCAATATCACCCCCCACTCCGAAAAGATATTAAGTGCTTATTTTTAGGCTTAGAGGAATTTGCCCCTTTTTCTTCCTTGGAAGGAGGAGGGAAATAATACATCATGTGACATTTTGAGTAAATTCATGAATTTAATTAGTGAAAAATTTTGAGCTCCTGTTGTGCATGAGGCTCCCTGGCCCAGGTGCCACAGCCTCTAACTGTCCAATTTAATATAGGGGTAGAGTGTGAACTCTGGAGCCAGACTGCCTGAGTTTGAACCCTGCCTCTGCTGCTTAATAAGTGGGTAACCTTGAGCAAGTTGCTAAACCTCCAAATACCTCTTGTAAAATAAGAATAATAGTACACTTACCTTAGGGTTTTGTGAAGATTAAATGATGTAATTAATGGTAAGTCCTCAGAGTAGTGCCTGGCACAAAGTAAGCACCAACTAAATAAATACTAGCTGCCACTGCTATTGTTGTTATTATTATTATCTCTGTATGAATAGACTTATTTGCTCTTTAAAAAACAAAACAAAACAAAGCAGCTGTTTGTGGGTATGTAGGAATGACAGACAGCCAGATTTCTTGAATGAGTACATCGTCATGTAGTTTCCACTTAGCCTTGTCTCCTACTCACTTCTCAGTGCACTTTGGTCTTATTCTGGTCTTAACCACTTTACTGAAACTGCTCTGGCCATGGTTGCCAGTGACTTCTTATTTATTTATCTGGCTGCATTGGGTCTTGCGGCATGCAGCATCTTCTGTTGTGACGCGTGGGCTTCTCTCTGGTTGTGTCCCATGGGCTCCAGGGTGTGGGTTCAGCAGCTGAGGCACAGCATGTGGGATTTTCAGCTCCCAGACCAGGGATTAAACCCTCATCCCTTGCAGTGGAAGGCAGATTCTTAACTATTGGACCACCAGGGAAGTCCCGCCGGTGACTTCTTAGAGGCAAACTCAGTGGACACTTTTCAGGCTCATCTTACTTTATCTGTAGCATTTTGATACTTTTGGTCATTTTCTCTTTTGGAATGTTTTCCTTCTTTCTGTGGTGACATTCTTGCTTGGTGATTCTTCCTCTGCCTGCTTCTGTAAATGTTCCAGTTGTTTGCGATTCTGTTAATTTCCCACTTTACATGTTAACCCCTGGGCAATCCCATACATTCCTTAGCCTCAGTGACTACTTCAGCTCAATGTCATTGCCTCCTAAATGTTAGTCTCTAGCCCAGACTTTGCTCCTCAACTTCAAACTGACTTGGTATAGGGCATCTCCACATGCCCTTAAGCCTAGCATGTCTTAGTTGAACTCCCTGTCTTTTAACATTGCCTCTTCTAAAAACCTCCTCTCCCTATATTCTGGATATTTAATAATGGCACACAGAGGCCAACAGCCTGCAATCAAGCTAGGAGCTTTTCACTGTTCTCATCCTCCTCATCAAGGCGTTCATCAAGTTTTTTTGACTTTGCCATCTAAAATCTTGACTCTTGCTCTGTTCCAATGCTTCCACTATTGCCTCAACTCAGGCATTCTTCCTTCATCAGGATTACTGCAGTAATTTCCTAACCTATTTTCCCTTCTCCATATTCTCCACTCTAATCCATCCATCATACCATTGCTGAAATAATCTTTTCCTTAAAAAAGCAAATATGAACACATTGCTCTTTGGCTTAAAAGGCTTCTTTTGTTCCCTATAGACAAGATAAAGCCCATATACTTTAGCAAAGAGTATCAGCCTCACCTCTCATGCACTCTGGCCATACTGAGTAAATTAGTTTCCTGAATACACCATGTTCTTAACCTATAACTTTATGTCTGCTGCTCCCTCTGTGTGGACTTTCTTTCCTGCTCCCCCAAGTCATCCTTTGAACTCCTCGGTTCCTTTGTGCAGCTTTCTCTGACATGCCTAGATTGAGTCTGTACCTTTACCCTTTGTGCTGTCATACTGTACAAAGCTATCTTTTAGCATTTACTACATGATATTGTTTGTCTATATCCCGTAATAGATTGTGATCTCAAAGGAAGGTACAGCATCTGCCATAGTGCCTGGAAGCAGAATAACTGCTCAGTAACTTTAAAAAAAAAAAATACAGTCTCTGTCTTCTAGGTGTTTACCCTCTAGTAGTTTTACTCCCACCCTAGACTTTGCTGACAAATGGTAGCTGGCTTTTCCTTCTGTTTTGCAGTATATCAACTCTGGAAACCTGGAACAGTTGCTAGACAGTAACCTGCATTTGCCCTGGACTGTGAGGGTGAAACTGGCTTATGACATAGCAGTGGGCCTCAGCTACCTTCACTTCAAAGGCATTTTCCATCGGGACCTCACCTCTAAGGTACGAAGGCTTTACTTGCACAACTCTTTGAGACACTATCTTCCATTTACCAAGAAAACTGCGTTAAGAAACCAGTCATTAATGAGCTTCAGAATGTTGGAGATCTCTTATAAATTCAACATTTAATCATAGAAGACACAGCTTATTACTGTGTATAGCTAGTCCTTAGAAAGCCAATCTTGGCTTATAGCAGGTTCCTTTCATTGCTGAGTCCATCAGCACATACATCTTGAGAACCTTTATTCTTAGTTTTACTCGCTACTGAACGTGTGTTCCAGGAATAGATGGCACGAGAACACATAAGAGATTCTTGCCCTTTAGGGGTGACAGTAGTCAAGGCCGTGTAGGAACCTGCCTCTCTGTATTCTCTCCCATGGTCTCCAGCAGGGGTTCTGTGATTTTTAGTCACTTGAGTACAGGTTTTGGAGGCCATAATGTACTGACCCATTTTCTTTCTGTGTGATTGAGTTTCTGCCATCCCGCCAGTTCCTCTTTGGCACCAGCTGGTCTCTGTAGTATTCTCTCGCTATCCAAATTGCTGTGTGACCAGATTAGAAAAGAGTTGCTTTTAGAGGAAGTTGGCTATACTACAAGGCAGACACCTCAGGGCCAAGTAGCACAGGATACCACATGACAAGGCTTATATAAACAGTACTGTTTGTACTACTATATATAAAAAATAGATAACCAATAAGGACTTACTATATAGCACAGTGATTCTACTAAATACTCCATAATGACCCATATGGGAACAGAATCTAAAAAAGAGTGGAGATATAAAAAACTGATTCAGTTTGCTGTACAGCAGAAAGTAACATAACATTGTAAATAAACTATACTCCAATAAAAATTTTTTTAAAAATAGTACTGTTTGACCATTCACATGGGAACTATAAATCATCTAATATAACTTGTGTTCAGAAGCTGATTTAAAAGTCTCCTAGGGAGGTATATGAGGCTTCCCAGGTGACTCAGTGGTAAAGAATCCGCCGGCCAGTGTAGGAGATGCGGGAGACATGGGTTCAATCCCTGGGTTGGGGAGATCCCCTAGAGGAGGACATGGCAACCTACTCCAACATTTTTGCCTGGAAAATCCCATGGACAGAGGAGCCTGATGGGCTACAGTCCATGGGGTCACAAAGAGTCGGACACAACTGAGCAACTGAGCGCACACACATGAATGCAGGGGAGGTGTATGGAAGTTTTATACCTGTCCAAGAATAGCGGTCACTTCATTCTGCACCCTCAATACATGCATATGCACATGTACATACATGCATATACATATTCAGGCAGCTCTTCTGTCATGGATGAGGGGGTAAGGAAACCTGTTATAGGGAAAAGTTTGCAAAGGGAACAAAAGCAGGCTGTGTCTCAGAGCCAATAGACCTAGAGCAGTGAGTCCCTGGCTACCACCCATTAGAATGGTTCTAGTGTTCTAAACAGCAGTACTGTCCCCAAGGGACCCTGGCCATTGGTTTGTGACTACTACACAGAAAATAGCTTTCAGTAGTGCTCATAGGGCTTGAGGTGTAGCAGTGCCATTTGTAGTCAGCTGCACTGTTACTGAAGAAACCTTAAGATTGGTGGAATCTGGTGACCAGCTGAGACCTAGTTGTGAGAACTCCTTTATCTTCATTCGTATAAGCAAGAGCTAAACAGCTGGGAATTGGATGGTGGTATCTTATCCCTTCATCAGCCTCTTCTTCCTTAGAATGTTTTAGAAAGTCAAGACTTAGAAAACTGCACCTGTTCCTGGCAGATGGGTGGGGTTGTATCAACTTAGATACTGTCTTAAGTTGATGGCTTACCTTGGGCATGCAATTAAAATCAAATTGTTGCTTCCTACTCAGAGAGCATCATGTCTTCTAACATGGAGGGAGGTCATGACCAGTTTTCTGTCAATCACACAGATATTTCCTACATACCCACATGAGTGTCTTCTGTGCCTGGCACCATGCATGGAGGAATATTCAAGAAAGATAATTTCTGACCAGAGATAGTCTGTTGGCAAATAATTGAGGAAGAGTTCATAGCATTTTATAATTGAGTGTTTAGCTATAGACTATGGGTTTTCAGTGGAAAAAAATCAGTAGACTAGGGTTCCTAGGTTTTCTGGAGGGACTCTTCATATTCCATTCTGTGCCCCCAAAATATTTTATCCCATTGTGCTAGTGTGGTTCTGTCTGGGATTGTCATATTGTATGTATTGTAAAAATGACTACCCTTTTTGGCTCTTAAGGGTAAGACCACTGTCCTTTGGTTTTCCTAGTTGATAGTGGGTGTTCCCATGTCAGCTGGTTTGAGATGAGAAACTAGGAATTTAGGTATTATTGGGTGTACTTTCTTGGGTCTGAACTTTAGGGGGTGGTGAGAACAAATGACTTTGCAACCGGGAGACAGGCTGGGAACTACACTTTCGGGAATCTCAAGTTGAAGAAAAACAAGCAAATTTTATAAGCCAGGCCATCCAGTTTGAGAGACTGTATTTATTGCCCTTTTGTTTCAACTTCACAGTGTTGCAGAGATTAAGGAGAGGTTGTATGTTCACACCTAGACCAGAGCAGTCCCACCCAGGAGACCTGTGTGGTGGTGACAGTGACCCTAAGAATGAGAAGCCTTAGGGAAAAATAACGCTAAAGGGACAGAGTAGGGCTTTGAAATTTCCAATTTATCTCCTCATTGTCAGCCTTGGGTCTGAGTTTGATTTCTTTAAGTGCAATAAAAGGTTTACTTATATATTAGTGTGTACACATCCAGTTATTTGATGGTTATACTGTGTCTGTGTCTCCCACCAACACATGAGTTTCTCAAGTGCTGCTCTTATTCACCTTTTTACCCCTAGCACCTAACATAGAGCCTGTCAGAGTAGAGGCTTCCTGGCCCTCTTTCAGAATATGTGTTTGACGGCACGGAGGCCAGAACATCTGCTTGAGAACTGAGATTCTGAGTCCCAGATCCAGTTTTATTCCACCTCTTTAAATGACTTCAGTGTTCTTGGGCCCTTAGTGTCCCTAGGCTATTGACATCAGCCCTGGCATCTCAGACCAGAGCTAATAAGAGGGATTTAAAGTAGTGGGAGTGTGTTTCAGGTGGGTAAATCAGGACAGAGAGAAGCATATGCCACTTTCCAAATGATCCTGGGCCTAGAGTAGTGGCAGAGAAGATCCTAGTTTCCAGAGTGCCTACTGAAAGTAGTATTATTGCCTTTGTAGAATTCACACATCAGTGGTTACTGCAACACTGTTTTCAAGAATGAAAAGTCTGTCAGATACAGCTGTTCAATTTTGTAACTACTTCTAAGAAACAGGCTGATTTAGGTTTGTGCAGTGGCAATGCTGATTCAACCAGTCCATCCTAAAGGAGATCAGTCCTGGGTGTTCATTGGAAGGACTGATGCTGAAGCTGAAACTCCAATATTTTGGCCACCTCATGCAAAGAGTTGACTCATTGGAAAAGACCCTGATGCTGGGAGGGATTAGTGATGGTTTTTGCCATACATCAACATGCATTGGCATTAGGTATACATATGTCCCCTCCCTCTTGAATGCCTCTCCCAGCTCCCTCCCCATCCCACTCATCTAGATTTTCACAGAGCACTGGCTTTGGGTTCCCTGTGTCACACATCAAACTCAAGACAGCAGTTTCAGAGACTGGAGAGAACATGAATTAGAAACAGTTGAATGCTGGCAGATGTAGAGAGTGTGTGTTAGGGCACTTTGTAGTCATTTTTTATAATGAAAACCATCAACAGCCTTTTGGAACCACTTATACTGTGCTGTTAGAGGAGATAGAAATTACTGGAACCTAATCTGTACCATCCATGGGCTCTGAGTCAAGTTGGAGATACAGATATGTGAGCAGATTACTTCCCAAGAACTATGGAGAAGGTATATGATCATATGGTGGAATGGAGAGGAAGGGACAGGACACATTATAGCAAACCAGATAATCTCAGAATTGGACTCTAGTTGTCTCTGGGACATTTAGGAGGGCAGTTCAATCTCTGATCTCGCTGTGCTGTGGAAAGAAACTTTTAATCTTTCTTGAGACATAGAATCAGTACTTTCTTTCTAACTGGATTTATGGAGTGAATTGTTGGGGGTAAAGGGAGAGAGGTGTTGGCACACAGAAAGCCGTTTTTTGTTGTTACAGAAATAGCTTTAGCTTAGAGCTAACACTTACAAATGGACCTGGCATTTCTCTGTTTAGGTGGTTTTATTCAGTGCTGGTACAGACTGTGCAGCTGTTCTAGGAGACCTCAGGATCTGCTCTCAGGTGTCTCCTCGGGCCCAGTTCTGAAGGGTTTGTGCTGGCTTACAGAAATGTGTTCATGGCCACCTCTTGAGTCTCTTGTCAGCTTGGTCTCCATCGTGGAGAGTCAAGTGTATGATTAGTGTGTGCCTTTCCACTTGCTTTTGAAAGAAGCTTTATTCGTCAGACTTTCACATGACAAACTTTGGCCGAGTTCTTTCTGTATGTCTGCTAGGTTAGAGATACAGAGATGAATAGGATCATTCCCTGCCCTTTGAAGAGGCAGACATGTAAGTCTCTCTGCTACTGTGTGATGTATTATAATAGGAGTAAGGACAAAGAGGAATGGGAGCCAGGCGGCAGCAGTGCCTGGGCTCCTCTTTGAACCAGAAAAAGGTCACCTCTCACCTCAGGGAAGTCTGACTGGGCCTTTCTTATGTCTGCTGCTTACTCCAGGCATACTTTTGAATAAAGCATTCTTCAGCTTGATTTAATGGACTTTGTATCCCTCAGAGCCTGAAAATTAGTCTGGGTTCTTCAGAACCCCACAGTGGTCTGAGTTCATATTTTCTCCTCTGTAGTCAGTCTGTATTGCAGCCATGTCCAAGTTGGGTGAGAAATGCAAGCATTACAGTAGGTGCCCTTGGATTAATCAGCTTTGGAGAGGGGGCTAGCATCCCAGATGAAGGGGTCTTACTGTATTGCCTGCACAAACAGTGCTGCCTTCTCCATGGACCTGGGCCTCTGCTTCTGTCTTAAGACTACTTTGTTCCTGCCATGGCCTTGCTGTCTCTAGTGGAAAGCTTTTCAACCAGTTTTTCTGGAAAGGCCAGAATCATTAGTGGGGGGATCCTATTAGAATCAGGAGACCTGCATCTTTACCACTCATAGTTGTAAGCTTCACTTTTCTCATCTTAACTGTAAAAATCTCAGATCTGCCCACCTGACAAGGTTGTTTGAGTCACTTGGACTAGTTTATGAATAGTGTTTTATTATTAATTCGTAAGGTACCACACAGGGAGAAGTAGACAGTCTTTCCCTTGCACAAGGGGCTAGGAAATATTCTTGAGGGCACTTCGCTCTTAAGATATTGCTCCTTTGCTGAATCTTTTAGCATATGGTGTACAGCCTATAGCTATAGGAAGGGACTACAGAAACAGACACTTAGGTCAAATGCTAAGGTTAGAGAGAAGAGAATGCAAAGGATACTTTGGAAAAGGATATTGAACCCAACCTGAGGGTACAGAGAAGACGTCTTGGAGAAGGTGATGCCTGAGCTGAATCTTGAAAGTTGAATTCTACTTACTAAGTTTGTGTGTGTGTGCTTAAGTTGCTTAGTCATGTCTGACTCTTTGTAATCCCATGGACTGCAGCCTGCCAGGCTCCTCTGTCCATGGGGATTCTCCAGGCATAAGTACTAGAGTGGGTTGCCGTGCCCTCCTCCAGGGGATTTTCCCAATCCAAGGATGAAATCCATGTCTCCCACATTGCAGGTGAATTCTTTACTGACTGAGCCACCAGGGAAGCCCTGGTGTGCGAGACCTGGGTTTGATTCCTGGGTTGGGAAGATCCCCTGGAAGAGGGCGTGGCAACCCACATTGTGTGTGTGGTGGGGTTATATTCCAGATCAGATCAGATGAATGGCATAAACAAAGGCATAGAGACATAAACAGTATGATATGCAGACTGTGAGGCTGAAGTGGTAGGGGATAAGAATTGAAAGCAGAGGAGTCTGATCATATACTGTCTAACTTGGATTTTATCTTCTAGAGAGGAAATGAAGAACCATTGTTGGCTTCTTTTAAATAGCAGCTTTTTTGAGATATTACATAAAATAAAATTCCTTTCAAAGTATACATTTCAGTGGTTTTTAGTATATTCAATTATCACCACTGTCTAATTTCAAATCTTCTCATCGTTCCAAAAGGAAAACCCCATGCCCTGTTCTCCCCTCCCTTCAGCCTTTGGCAACCACTAATCTTTTTTCAGTTTCTATGACTTTGCTTAATCTGGACATTTCATAGAAATAGAATCATACAGTATATTATTGCTGGCTTTTAAGTAGGTGAGTAACACAGATTTGCATTTTACGAAGATTATGCTGGCAGAAGTGAGGAAGGTGGATTACGGAGATCAAGCCTAGCCTAGGCTACAGAGACCATTTGGAATATTGCAGTATTCAGAGGAGGACCTGAATTAAGGCAGTAGTCATGGGGATGAAAAAGGAGGGGGCGATTGGAAAACATTTAGAAGCTAAAATTATTTGGAGTTAAGAGTGGAAAGTCTAGATGAATCCCAAGTTTCTAGCTTAGTAAACTGGGTGGAAAACGGCAGTACTAGCTGACATATAAATACAGCTAGAGATGTAGTTTTGGGGGGAAAAGATGAGTTCAGGTTTGCATGTATAGAGTTCAGTGTAAATAATCCAGATGTCATCCAGATATAGACTGGATATGCAAAGCTGAAGATTGAGAAATAAAGGTCAGTGCTGAGGATATACATTTGGGAGTCATCAGTACAGAAGTGGTAATTAGAAAAGACATGTGGAATAGTCTCCACAAGAGAGCACAAGCTGTAGGCCTAGGAGAACCCTGAGAACGTCACCCTTGGGGGATGGGAGGAAAGGCCTGCCCTAGAGTGTTCAGAATAGCCAGAGGTAGAGAAGGAAATCTATAGTATCACAGAAGCCAGGAGAGAAGGATCAGAAGCAACAGAAATAGCCTGTAATTAGCCTTTGATAGCTAGTCTGTTTGCTCCAGGGCCACAATGGCTTAGTCTGTACATGCCCAGCAGATAGGATTCCTGAATCATATATAAAAGTGCTGAAGGAAATAATCAGCAATGTCAACAGCAGCAAAATCAAGTAATATTAAGGGCTGGTTTTGTCTATTGAGTTTAAGGCCATGGAACTCAGAGGGATCCTCAGAGAGAACACTTCCAGCAGAAGCCAGTGAGGAAGGGGTGGGAGATGAGGAAGTAAAAACAGCAAGTGTTGCCAGCCAGACTTCACTGGTCTAGACCCCACTAAAGGCAGGCTAAGGGGTTTACTGAAAAACCCCATAGGAGTTAATCCTGGTCAGGGTTCCTTCCCATTTTCCTTATCACCTCAGATACAGACTCCTAAAGTTGGCTCTTGTGGTTTTCGTAGTCCATCTTTGTCTTTGGCTCCAGTGCCTGGCTGCTGGCTATGGAGAAGCTTTAAGAGAGGCAGGGGTCACATTCCAGATCAGAGGCAGACTGGGCTAGGCAGGCTCACCCATGTTGTGGGGCCCTGATCAACCTTACCTTAGCCATCTCTCAGCAGCTCAGAGAAGCTACTACTGTGAGTCACTTCCTCCTGGATGGTTGGTCTACAGTGAGTGTACGAGAGGGCTTCATGAATGTGAAGATGGGACAGAAATTGAACAGCTTTGATAAGGGCAGTGTACTGGCCATGCTCTGTTCCCTACTGCTGCGCCTAAGCTGAATTTCACAGGATTGTTTCTGAGGGCTGTAAAGACTGATCCTTGGAGACAGGAGCCTGAGTTGTTGATGAAAGAAGAGGAGGAGGGGAGGAAAACAAGCAATAGATCTGAGTCACCCAAAAGCCTAGACTTTGGCTGCCTAATAGACAGGCTGGCTTAGAACCCATCTTCTCATAGATTGTAAAGTCAGGGAGCTGGGGTGTCGGGGTGGTGGATTGCTGAGCCAGGGGACTGATGGAAGGGCTGAAGCCAGGACAAGCACAAGGACAGGCCTGCTTAGAAGCCAGAGACAGTTATGTCTATCAGGAAACGAGGGCAGTAGAAGATGTAATGAAATCACAGGCTGCTTCCAGCTCAGAGAAAGAGAGCATAGTGTGATCACATCAAGGCCAGAGTAAGGGACTAATTTGTACCTGATGTGAAGTAACCAGGTGACTTGGCAATGCCTTGGCAACTATGTGCCAAGGTGAGGAAGAGGGAGGGCTAGAGGGCCTTGCCAGTCCCAGAAATGTCCTTGTGAGCCAAGGATCCCTGCTCTCTGCTGCCCCTGGAGGAAGGGGGGTAGAATGAGGTGTCTCCTGAGCCAGAGTGATATAGGTCCATTTTGAATGATATTTGGGGAGAGCTTGTTGCTGCTTTATGTTTAAAGTCATTTGGGTTCATCCTTTCTCTGGAGACAGCAGCATTTGTTCAAAAAGCTTGTCTTGAACCTCTCTCATAAATTGAACACTGTGAGAAAGGAAGGCCCAAACCTGAATTTGCTCCTGAGAGGCTAATGGACTCTCTGCTAGGCTGTAAGAGGAAGTGGCAGAGAGGAGTTAATGGAGTTGAGATGAGAAAGCAGAAGGTAAGAACTGGAGAGGTTAGGACTGGAAAGGTAAGCTTACCTTAAAGCACACTAAATTTTCTGAGGAAAAAAGAACTAGGAGAACATTCCAAATGGAAAGGAAGAGCAAAGGCAAAGGTTTGAAGGGCCTGTTCAGGCTTGTCTGTAACAAGTTTGGATGAAGATATGTACAAAGGGCACCAGGGGCTCAGATCACAGAACAGAGCCAGATCATGGAATTTTAATGCCAGAGGAGAAGGTGGTTGTGATCTTATGGGCAGTGAAAGTTGGTGTAGGCTTGGGCACTGTCCTGCGCTTACATTACTTGGCAAGGTCAGGCCTGGTCTTTGAGTCTCTATGTTCTGAGGGAAGAATGAAGGGAGGCCAGGGTCTGATAGCCTGTCTTCTTCCACTAGATTGTAAGCTCCAAGAGAACAAGGGTTTCTGTTTACTGTGGTATCTTTGATACTTAGAACCTTGCCTAGCACATAGAAAACAAAGATAAATATTTGTGTTTGGAGCATGGTATGAATCCTAGGGCAGCCACCCAAGATCCAGGCCTAACTCATCTCACATGGCTATCAGAGACCCACTGGGGTCAGCCCAAGAGCATGATTTCACCAAGAAGCAAAGGACAGGGTACCCTGTGGTAGTAGGGAGGGGTGGTGGGAAACTCTGTGGCTGGCTGGTCCCTTCTTCTGAGCCACGATGTCTTCTTCTTTGGGAACCCTAGAACTGCCTGATAAAGAGGGATGAAAACGGTTACTCTGCAGTGGTGGCTGACTTTGGCCTGGCTGAGAAGATCCCTGACGTCAGGTGGGTAGCCCTGACGGGAGCTGGGGTCACTGAAGGGTCTGAGGCGAAGGGAGGACTCCAGCGTCCTCTTCAGAGGCTAGGACTTGGCCACAGCCCAATCTCAGCTCCCTAAATTCAGTCAATTCTGGTGTGCCCATCCTTGGGGGAGAGAAATTCCCAATGGTCAGATCTCCCATTGCACCCACCAGTGGCAAGCTCATTTTCCATACAATCTTACCCCACAGCACGGGAAGTGAGAAGCTAGCTGTGGTGGGCTCACCCTTCTGGATGGCACCTGAGGTTCTCCGAGATGAGCCCTACAATGAAAAGGTGAGTCTGGGGGCCCCAAGGCCTGATTCTATGTAGAATCCATTCTTAGCAAAAAAGTCTTGGGTCACCCTTCACGTATGGGGTAAGGATCTATATCCTTCCTGCAAAATCAGCACTGGTACCTGTCAGCTGCCTGGTGAATGAACTGAATGAAATATGGTCAGTATTTCATTCCACTTCCCTGATGGCTCAGTGGTTAAGAATCCCCCTGCAAATGCAGGAGATGTGGGTTTGATCCCTGGGTCAGGAAGATCTCCTGGAGTAGGAAATAGCAACCCACCCCAGTATTCTTGCCTGGGAAATCCCACGGACAGAGGAGCCTGGCGGGCTACAGTCCAGAGTCACAAAGAGTTAGACATGACTGAGCAACTGAGCACATGGTCAGTAGGGCCCAAGCCTGGGCTAGTGAACAGGAGGCAGAAACCCCACCTCTTACCCCATTGAGAGGGAAACTGAGATCTCACTACTCACCAGGCGGACGTGTTCTCTTATGGTATCATCCTCTGTGAGATCATCGCCCGCATCCAGGCTGATCCAGACTATCTTCCCCGAACAGAGGTGAGCTCCATGATGGGGATCAGTGCCACTGGAATTTTTTATTTTCTTGGGGTGGAGTTCCTGGAACTTAGTCTGTGGCTTCTTCTCTGGGGCAGTTTTCCACCTCTCCTGAGCAGGCCAGGATGGGTGGAGGGGTTAATGACCTGTCTACCCATGTCCCTGCTCCTTCCCCACCATACCCATCCACAGAATTTCGGGCTAGACTATGATGCTTTCCAGCACATGGTGGGAGACTGTCCCCCTGACTTTCTGCAGCTCACCTTCAACTGCTGTAATGTGAGTATCTTTTTCTCCCAGGCTTTGGTTGGGGCTGCCTGAACCCTGTTCACCTGGTTAGGACCATTGGGAGAGGCTGCTAATTAGCCTCACAAGGGACCTCTTTCTCAATGAATGGCAGTGCCTATGTTTCTTCCTCCGGGCCTGTCGGACTCTGGCCCAGAGCCTTGGACCAAGGAAAGGAAAATTGCTTTGTATTATCCAGTCCTCAGCTTGTAGTGTAAACCTACTACCCCTTTTCTTGGATATTGATGGAGCTTTGGTCAGGTTTTAGTTGGACCATGCATCCAACTGGTCCAAGGCCCATAAGAAAGGATCTAGCATTTTAGGTCTGGGGCTGCACCTACTGGTTGACTAAGGGGTAGCTGGGACTGGTCCAGGTAGCTTCCAGAAACATGTTAGCTGCAGAACTCAACAAAGAATGGAACCAACCAATGTGAATACCCCCTTTTGGAGGGTTCTATGCCAAACAAGGGGACAAGACATAGAAAGGTTGCTGAGATAGGGGAGGGTACTAGACAATAGCATCTTCCCTGACCTTCACTCTGGGGCTGTCTTATGGTCTGGAACCTTCAGCAAAGATCTCTTAGATACACATCTCTTAAAAGATGCCAGAAAGAGACTCAAATGCCATCCTTGGGATGGAAGATAGGAGGTCAGGGCTAATGGCTGGTGTGGATGACTACAGATGGACCCCAAACTACGCCCATCCTTTGTGGAGATTGAGAAGACCTTGGAGGAAATTCTGAGCCGCCTACAAGAGGAAGAGCTGGAGAGGGACAGGAAGCTGCAGCCCACAGCCAAGGGTAAGAGATGAAACCAGAATGTCCAACCTGACCCCATGGGAGGATATTAGGATGGTGGGGGGCGAAGGGGCTTCCCCTCTAGGGCTGTGATCACAGGATCCCATGTACAGAAGAAAGGCAAAAAAGCAGGGGAAGCAGGAAAAGTCCTGGAGCTCTGCGCTAGCATACTGCCTCCCTTCTGTTTTCTCATTGTTAAATGGGGACAATAGTACCTACCTTTTGCTTTCTCAAGTGGTAACACACTATATACGAGATATTGCTTCTATTTGTTATGACTAGAGAGAAACCCTGACTTGACTTACTATTCTTCAGGACTCTTGGAGAAAGGACCTGGGGTGAAGCGACCGAGCTTACTGGATGACAAGATACCTCCCAAGTCCCCACGCCCAAGACGTACCATCTGGCTGTCTCGAAGCCAGTCAGACATTTTCTCCAATAAGCCCCCACGTACAGTGAACGTCTTGGATCCCTACTACCAGCCACAACAAGTTGGTGCTGCCCGAGCCCCCAAAATCAACCCTTTTAGTGCTCGCCAGGACCTCAAAGGTGGCAAGATCAAGTTCTTTGACCTGCCCAGCAAGTCTGTCATCTCCCTGGTATTTGACCTGGATGCACCAGGGCCTGGAACGATGCCTGTGGCTGACTGGCAGGAGCCCCTGGGCCCACCTGCTCGCCGGTGGCGTTCTTTGCCTAGTTCACCTGAGTTCTTGCATCAGGAGGCTTGTCCATTTGTGGGCCGGGAAGAATCACTATCTGATGGGCCCCCACCATGCCTCAGCAATCACAAGTACAGAGTAAGGGAGATCGCACCATTCCGAGCAACTGCCCAGCCAGCTGCTCCAGCCCATGAGGCCATGGACTGCTCCAACCCTCAGGAAGAAAATGGTTTTGGGCCCAGGCCCCAGGGCATCAGTCCATGCCTTGCAGGTGCCCCTGAGGAGATGGAGGTAGAAGAAGAAAAGCCAAGAGACTCGGCTCCAGTCCCCTTCTCTGTCTCAGGCATGGGCCTGAGGACCCAGGGAGAGCAGGATGGGTGAGCAGAGTTCATCCCCCTCACCTTGGGGACAGACCTTCAGCTGAAGCCACAGGGCCCCCTTGGCGCACAGCCTAGACTCTTCCCGGGGGCCCACAGAACACGCAGGCTAAGCCAAGCCAGACTCATCTGTGAGGCTCCCACTGCCCAGTGGCTATGTGAGGTGAGGCAGCCATGAGAGGCCTTCCTAGTTAGGGCCAATGGCTGATACGAAGCCTCTGAAATCCAGCAAGGAGCTCTGGCTCCCACCGGATCCCCGAGACTTCCCGACAGGACCAGAGGACTCCTAGTTCTAGTGTGAGCTGGCAGGCAGCTATTACCCCAGGTTCTCCTACCCCAGGTCTGTTTCTTGCCCTTTCCTGGGGCATATAAGCTAATGGATGGAACCTGGAGCTGACCAGGAGACCGTAAAGGGCATGGCTATTTCTCAGACCTAAAGACTGGGGTGCTTCTTGCCAGAATGTCTAAGACACTTGAATAATTGCTGTTTGCACTTACTGCATGGTCAGACCATGTCACTACATTTCTATGCAAGGCAAGGCAGAGTGGTGGTCGTGGCTCTCAGCTAACCTATTCAAAGATCTTTTCCAGTTGATTAATCTATTTTCATATTTATGAAGGAGTCTTAATGTCCTGCCCTAAAAGACTTCCAACCCTGTGGTTGGGAGTGGGGCTGATTTTGTAGGCCCTAGGGCCTGCTCTGTATATTTGTCAACACGATACACCCCAACTGGTTTATACGTGGACTGATTTCTTCCCTTTCTGCTATGGCTGGAGCTATGGGAATAGTCTGTCCTAATAGAACCGCAATAAGAAATAACCAAAGATGAAGCTGGTCAGATATTTTCATATCTTGTTTATTTTTTTTTTTGGTAAAACTTTCCCAGGACACTTTGAGATTTAAAAATGAATAAAGTCGGTGTTACAGGTGCTGGTCAGCCTTCTTACTTGTACCCTTGTTCTTCAGCCTCTAGGGTAAAGGCAGAGATGCCAAAGCAGTGCAACAGTATCTCAGCCAGGACCCCATCCTATCCCCGAGTAGTTGGGATTAAGTCACTCACAGGCTAGAGGGATCCAGACCCCTCTGATCCACTCTTAGCTTCTCTTCCTAGGCCCTGAGTGCTGTGTTGAAGTTGGGTCAGCTGCTGCCCCAAGCCAGCTTCATCTTCTGGTTGTGGGCTTTGGAAGAACGGGAGAACTGGCTCTTAACCACTGTGAGGGGGACAGCTTTGCCACTCAGGTATACCTTGTTGTGACATTCAGGTAGCCATGGTTCAGAGCTACAGGGCTGGGATCCTTGGCTCACTCCCAAATAGGCCATCACATAACCTGTCATAAACGCATCAAAACCAGCCCGATGCAGTCCATCCCCAGGCACTGGGTTAGGACTGACTTGACTCTCTGGGGCTTCTGAGGTGGCCATGTCAGTTGTGACTTGCCTCTCTGGTGCTTCTGAAGTGGCCATGTCAGTTGTGACTTGCCTCTCTGGAGCTTCTGAAGTGGCCACGTCAGTTGTGACTTGCCTCTCTGGGGCTTTTGAGGTGGCCATGTCAGTTGTGACTTGCCTCTCTGGCGCTTCTGAGGTGGCCATGTCAGTGGTTTCAGCACTTGTTGCTTTAGGCTCCATCTCCAGGTCATTTGTGGGACCTTGCTCAGAGCCAGGTTGGGTCCCAGTCTCATCCTCAGCCACCTCCTGCTCAGTTTTCTCAGGCTTGAGGTTGTCCTTACAGACCTGCTTGGTGGGAGGACTGTCCTCAGCTTCCCCAGAAGGCTGTTTCCCAGGCAGGCCCAATAAAGCCCTCCGCCGTTTTTCCTTACGTCGTCTCCGTCGCCTCTTGTCCTCCACCGCAGCTTCATCAGTGTCAATGATAAGGTCAATATCATGGGACCGAGGACACTGTGGTCCCAGGGGGCACCAGCCATAGGCCTAGAGGTAGGAAAGAAGCTTAGAGAGGGTTTCCAGGCATCAAAGTCCCTTCCCCAGGAAATGGGCAGGTGTGCTCACCGAGAAGTTGTCACAGATGCTGGTGGAATGAGTACGGCAGGTGGGGGGTGGTGCACAGCAGCGGTAGTCAATATGGGCCCTCATGCTAGAAGGATAGCTACAGAACTCCAGGGTTAGGTGTGGGCTGCCGGCTGCCCGCTGCTTCCCATTTTCCCGCTCACTGCAACATCACAAGAGGATATGGGTCCACTAGCATGTAAACTCCATGACAGCAGGGGTTTTTGTCGGTTGTGTTCACTGCTGAACCCTCGGCACTAAAGCAGTGCCTGGCCCATGGTAGGCACTCACTGAATATCTTAAGTGAATGAAATAATCAGGCTTATGCCAGGCCCCACCCTGTTCCCTCAACCAGTCCCTCACCATTTCCGGAAGGCATATTCTAGGTAGGAGGCCAGAAAGCGGGCATGAAACTCAGCAGCATATTTGGTGTCATAAATGCCAGCGGGGAACATTTCACACAGGTCAGCAGTGAAGGTTCCCAAGTTCTCGGGCAGGTGTGCGTAAAAGTTCTGGTAGAGGAACACCAAGTCTATCAGACCGTTGTGTAGTACCAGGGGCCGGCGGGCCCGGATCAACTCCAGGAACAGTGTCCTCACTGACTGTCTCTGACTCTCATCACCCTATATGGAAAGAAAGGGGTCATCAGGAAGGATAGAGTGCCTTAGGGAACCTCTTGCAGGACACCTGTCCCAGGCATCCTTACCTGGAAAGTTCTCCCTTGCTTTCATCTAATTTACTGCTATTCACCAGTGTATCAATCTTGTTTCTCCAGCTCTGTCACTGGTGAGTCCCCATACTCCCTAAGAAGCAGATCCTCCCCAGTGTACCCAGCCTAGAGTAGTAAGAAATGAATTCACAGGAGAGGCAGTCTCAAGGCTGAAGATCTACCTTGTCATTCCCCTTGTGGTAGGGGATTCCCTGAGCGTACTGCCGGTTGAAGTTGAAGCCATGCTGTACCAGGAACTGCACAGACTTTGGTTCAATGACATACTCTTCCATGCACAGTAGGGTCAGATTGAACACTTGGGCCAGGTATGAGTGTTCACCCTGGGAGAAGAAGAGATTCTGCAACATCCAGCCTTAGGAGAAAAAAACCTCATAGCTGATGTATCTCAATCCCTCCTTCCCTAGCCACAGACCTGGGATGGGGGTGAGAGTAACCCATACCTTGTCTGGCTGCTGCTTGAAGCAGGCGAGGCCCAGGGAGAGGATGGAACGGGTCCTGGCAGCATGACACACGGCCTTGTAACGTTCCTCGATGCACCTTGGGGTTGGGTTTGGGGGTGGCTGTGGCTGGGAGTTAGCTTCATGAAAGACCCAAACCACCCAGGACTGTGACCTCCACTCCAGGGTTGAGGTCTGCCCTTCCTGGCAAGGCTAGGACTAAAGAGATCAGGGCTTATACTTACTGGTTCAGCAAACACTTCCTGTCCCCAAGCCCACTCAGTTCCTGTGGATCAGTAAAGGGAGAGCTGTGTTAGGTTCTGCAGTACCAGCCCTTTCACCACCACCTGCTCTCCCAGTTCCCCAGCTCTTACCGTGTCCACAGCCACAAAGTTAGCCGTCTTTATAGCCAGGAGGAGGGATGGCCACATCTCCTTGAAGTTGTCACTTTGCACATCCACCACGGGAACCTGGACTACTAGCTCCTCCCCAGATTTTGTGCTTTGGCTGACACCATCTGGAGATAAGGAGGGTGATGGATATTAACACTCAGGAAAGAGCCCAAGGGAATAGACACCAAGCTAGGCCATGGCTGGCGGTAGGGGCAGCTTCCCCGTCAAGCGTTATATTGCATATGCTTTATACACAAGATTGGAGTGAACAATGCCCTGAATTTGGGGAGAGAAAGCTTGGGTCTTCCAGTGGCTGATGTAAAATTCTGGGGGAAAATTTTCCCCTTAGCATCAAAACCTGTAAAAGAGGAAGGCTGAACTAGATAATCTGTTGAGGTTTCTTTTCCCCATATCCTGCAGGAAATATTTTGTAAGGCTTGAGGACTTCAGGCCCTTTAAAATCCCACAACGCTCTGTAACCGTTCCCACGGTTCCTCATAGCCACAAGTGGCAGTAGCCAGTATGCGCCAGAGCCTAATAAATAACGCCCCAATCCGTCCCACTTCCTGTGGACCACAACTCCCAACCTCCCCCAATTAACAGAGCTACAAACTCCAGACTACATCTCCCGACATGCCCCCACGAGTCCTAACTAGCCTCCCAACACTCCAGGCTTTTGGAGGCGGGACCGCGGTGCACACCGGGACATGTAGTCTCCTCGTGGCTGATTCAAAAGGAAGGCGCTAGCCCTCTGAAACTTGAGGCCTGCTTCTTAGAACTACGAGTCCGAGGGTCTCCGCTACCGCGGAGCGCACAGGCTTTGAAAACGGCCCCTGGGAAAGCCACTTACCGTCTGAGACCGCGGGAGCTGAGGCTGCGCCACCGTCACTGTCGGCGGCCATGACACCGCGGGTCCTTCGCCAGTATAGTCACTGGGCACGGGGGACTTCCGCTTCGTCTCCTCTCTCGGTTCCTGCAGTCGGGGATGGGGCGGGGTCTCACGCCAAGAATCGCCGAACGGTCGGACTTCCTTTAAGATCGCCTGGGTCTGGCGCGGAGGAGGCAGCCTGGCGCGCGCTGGAAGCGTATTGGCCGGCGTGGTTCGACTCGCCGCCAAAATTGGCCGGGGCCACGCCCCCTGGGGTTCGTCGGTGAGCTTGGCGCGGGAAATCACGCGGGAGGTAATTCCTTCTTCCCCTGCGACCCGGCGGGAACGCAGGCTTTCGCCTTACGCTCGCTGTCTTCATCGACTCTGCCCAGGGGTGGGCGTTGGGGGTTTTATGTCTGTAGAGGATGAGATGATACCTGAGCTAAGCTTAAAGCAAGCGTATAAGTTATGCAGACTAGAGAGTGTGGGGGAAAAAAAGATTTGGGAAATGGCAAGCTCCTAGGGAGGGTGGAGAGCTCATTGCATTCCATCAAGTGAAAGGAGCTGGGAGGGGGACAGGAGATGAGGCTGCGGAGGGTGAAAGCGACCGCTAGCAGGGACACTTTTGAAACAATAGACGCGCGTGATAATGACTAGAATTAGGCTCCAGCAGTGACAGCTTGTAAGCAATTAGGAGTTATAGTTACTCCTGAGAGGTTTTGGATTTGATTTCTGCTACTGAGAGTTGTCCCTACCGTGGACCAGAGCTTTCCCAAGAGCCCTGGTTTCCACCAAGGACTCTGAACCTTTTCTCTCTCTGATTATTTGCTGTTTCCAGTTCATCCTTTCTCTCTATTGAATCTTTTCATTATCATTCTGAATTGTTTGGATTTCTCCCATTCTGGAAAGAAGGGGTACTTTTTATGCAGTTTGCCTGGCACTGTGCTCTGCACAACAGTCAACAAAAGACACCCAAGTTTCCTTTCATGGAATTTTACAGTTAAGTGGGGAAAGCAGACACTGATCAAAGAATCACAAATAAACATGAAATTATGATTGGTATAAAAGCAACAATGGAGAAAGAAGTACAGAAGTGGGTAAGACTGGGGGATCTGATTTGGACATTTAAGTCAAGACCTGAAGAGTGAATAAACGTTAGGTAAAACAAGAGCTGTCCAAGCAGAGGAAACGAACTGGGTGAGGCCTCAAGGTGGACAGACACTTTGGGAATTGAAGCAACTATTTCAGGCAAACATGGCTGGAGCACAGTGGGTGAGGGGATGAGGCAGGTTGAGCTGTTTGTATCCTACAAAGATACATTAAGAGGATTGGCTCCTGAGAGCAATGGGTGTGACAGCCAAAGTCCTCTGGTGGCCTACAAGGTACTTTGTAATCCTATTCCGCCCACCTTGTTTGAAATGGCAGCCAACTCCAGTATTCTTGCCTAGAGAAGTTCATGGATTGAAGAGCCTGGAGGGCTACAGTCACAAAGTTGGAAACGACTGAGTGACTTTCACTTTCCCTTTCTTTACCTCTTTGACCTCACCTACTGCTCACCCCTTCCTTATTCAGTTTCTAAACACACTGACTTCCTCATTCTACAAACACACCAAGTACCCTGCTTAGGGCCTTTGCACTAGCTTCTCAAGATGCCTTTCCCACAGGTAGTCATCCATATGGGTAACTCCTTTAACTGCTTAAAGTCATTGGTCAAACATTGCTCTAACAAGGCCCACCTTGACCATGTTCTTTTAACATTGCAACATTCCACCACCCTCACTTACTTCTTATCCCCTTCACAAGTCTACTTTGACTGTTTATGCTAGTTTTTATCACCTAGCATCCTATATAATTGGCTGATTTTGTGCATTATTTTTTGTCAATCCCATAAACTCTGTGAAGGCCCAAACCTTTGATATTTTATTTATTGAAGTATTCCAAGTACCTAAAACTGCTTGGCACATAGTAGGCACTCCATAAGTAATTATGGAAGTCAGTGAGTTTGGCTAAGGAAGTTTTGCTAGGAAGCGGGTGTGTCTTGTGGATGGGATCGGAGGAGGAGGAGAGAACATTCCTCCATATAATTGGATAAAGGAGAAGGAAAATGCAGATGGAGGGAAGTTTATGCATTGGTTCTTTTTTCTGAAGGCGGAAGCAAGTTCTTTTGATGAAAATGAGGTGTGAAAGCCTAGCTAGAACATGGAAGCAACCTAGATGTCCAACAATAGATAAATGGATAAAGAAGTTGTGGTATATATACACAATGGAATATTACTCAGCCATAAAAAGGAACACATTTGAGTCAGTTCTAATGAGATGGATGAACCTAGAACCTATTATACAGAGTGAAGTGAGTCAGAAAGAGAAAGATAAATACTGTATTCTAACACATATATACGGAGTCTAGAAAAATGGTACTGAAGAATTTATTTACAGAGCAACAGTGGAGAATCAGACATAGAGAATAGACTTATGGACATGGGGAGAGGGGAGGAGAGGGTGAGATGTATGGAAAGAGTAACATGGAAATTTACATTACCATATGTAAAATAGATAGCCAGCAGGAATTTGCTGTATGACTCAGGAAACTCAAACAGCGGCTCTTTATCAACCTAGAGGGGTGGGACGGGAAGGGAGTTTCAAAAGGGGAGGATATATGTATACCTATGGTTGATTCATGTTGAGGTTTGACAGAGAACAGCAAAATTCTGTAAAGCAATTATCCTTCAATTAAAAAAAAAGAAAATGAGGTGTGAAGCAAAAGTTTGAGGAGAGAGTTTGAGCCAGAGTTTCAGCAGAGACTGCAGTATAGCCAGGTATAGCTCTGTAGACAGACCTTTGGAGTTTGAATAAAAAAGTTGCTTAATCACAAGCCTCAACCTCCTCATAACTGAAATGGAGGTAATCCTAGAACATACCTCATGAGATTGTTAAGCGACTGAGTAAGAAATCTGGTAAAGCATTTACATTGGGTCTGGTATGTCTAACACTCACTAACTTAGCTGTTAGATAAAAGGTAAAATCAGCAGCCAGAACAGTTAGGGAGCAGCGAGGATCAACCAGATGTTTTCTCATTACTAGTGGATAGGCAGCTGTGATTTACTAAATCAGGAGAAGATTAGAAATAAAAATAGCTCATTTCCCCCTCTTCCCAACTTGCCATCTGCTCTCAGGCAAATCTTTTACCCTCTCTGATCCTTAGTTTCTCTGTTTTTTTTTCCCTTTGCCTTTTATTTTTAAAATCATCACTGAGGTTTCTTCTTTGTATAGGATGAAGGTTTAGACTAGATGATTAGTAAAGCTGTTTCACAGATAGCCAGTCCAGGTTTGGTGCATGAGACAAGTGCTCAGGGCTGGTGCACTGGGATGACCCAGAGGGATGGGATGGGGAGGGAGGTGGGAGGGGGGTTCAGGATGGGGAACACAGGATGGGGAATCAACCCATGGCTGATTCATGTCAGTGTATGGCAAAAACCACTACAATATTGTAAAGTAATTAGCTTCCAATTAAAAAAAAAAAAAGGCTGTTTGAGTGTAAATGTGCTACATCTCTAAGGAGATAAACCTCTTACACCTGAGCTCCCAGTGATACGCAGATGCTCCTGCACAGGAGGCTTTGGTCTTTGACTCAGCCCAGCTCTGGCCTCTTATTTATGTCTCCAGGTGTATACTAATGCTGGTCCCACTAAGGCCACTTGCAGAAGTTCAGCCCTACTGGTCATACCTCAGTAACACAGCCAGCCAAGGGTAAGCCCATGAGCATCCAGGGATTGCTTGAGAAAAGCTAGACACTTTATATGAATGGTGTGGGAGGGAGGTAGCTTTACCCTCTACAGGACCCTAAGATTCAGCCTCATGGTGACTGACATACTTTGGCTGGGCCATTCTGTTCTAGCTGATCATGAAGAAGCCACGAGCACCTGTGGGGAATCAAAGTGGTTGCAGGAAGCAGGCATCCAGCCAGGAGGGAAAGAAGAAATGTGCCTTCAGCAGCAGCCAGTCCAAGCTGTCTGCCCCCAGTGGTGAGGATCTGGGTCCTAATCAGACTCAGGGGCTGGTTTAATTGGCCGTGAAAGGGGGCAAATTCAGACTGGGAAGAGAGCATGGTATGTATCAAGTCATTAAGGGACTAATTAAGGATCTAATTCTGACTTTGCTCTGTGACTTTAGGATAATTGCTCTGAATAGATGCTTTCTATCAGTGACATGGAGCAGTAGTCTGTGCATTTCCTTCCTCCCTTGGTTTTCATGGGATCCAACGAATTTATCAACCCGAAAGTGTTCTGTGAACGGGAAGGCCCTCCACAGGTGTATATTATGTTTGGCAGAAACTTGGGTTTTCATTATGATCCAGAGACAAAGGAGCCAGGGGTACCACCCTGGGGAAATAAAGGCTAGAAACTTGATTTAGGTTACAAAACCCTAGAGCCTCCTGGTCTGAGCTCAAGCAAGGGGTTGGGGTTGGGGAAGCCTTAAGTGGACAGCCTGAAACCAGGCCTCTAGTGCACATCCTGTGCAGGGACGATCCCTGAGTTTTCTGAGACCCCAGCAGGGCTGGCCAGGCAGCAGAAGGCGTTATTGCAGGCCTCTGTCTCCCCGTACCATCTGTTCAGAGATGTGGCCGAGGTCACAGCCTTCCAGGAGAGCTTGCTGGGCTGGTATGACCGAAAGAAGCGGGACCTACCCTGGAGAAGGCTGGTAGGAGGACAATGGATGTGGGGGGGTGGGGGGAATAGGAGGCTGGTGCCCAGTCCCCTCCACACTAACTGCCCATCTGGGATTGCATTGGCAGGTGGAGGGTGAGGTGGACCTAGACAGGCGGGCATACGCTGGTGAGTATATCTCCTTGGAACAGGGCTGCTTTGCCTAGACCACCTCGTTTGGGGTCTGGGAGCTGTGGGCTAAGAGTCGGGTGGTCAGCAGTGTCCTCATGCTGGCCCCTCTTCCCCAGTGTGGGTCTCAGAGGTCATGCTGCAGCAGACCCAGGTTGCCACAGTGATCAACTATTATACTCGATGGATGCAGGTGACTTCCGGGAACAAGGGGAAGGGTCAGTCATGGTCTAGACCCCAGATGACTCCTTGGGGGTGGGGATAAAATAAGGCCTCCTCCACTTCCTTCACCTTTGGCCTCATTTCTTTTTGTCTGCCTTCGGGCTGTAGAAGTGGCCAACGCTGCAGGACCTGGCCAGTGCTTCCCTGGA